TCGTGTTCTTCCACAACCGGCCGATAACCGACGGATGACAGCCAATCGACTCGGTTCGAACGAGGGCATGCTTCGAGTTGTTACCTTGCTTCGTAGGAGTCTCCGCCATTGCCACCGCGATTAGAGCCAAACGAGTGTCACTAGTTTTTGTGCGTTCTTTGAGAAGTTTTTCTGACAACCGTCCCGACGTATAAAGTGACTCGCCGCTTTTCCCGTTTTAACGACGCCATTAGCTTTTTGCCAAACTCTCGCGCACGTAAGTGACAAAGACCGAAACGAGTACCGACGACATGCATGCTGCGCGAAAGCCACGCCAATCTCGAGACCGCATTCGGTTTTGCGCGTTGTCAGACTTTAATTAATCCTAAAATTTGCATCTTCCCATTACTCCGCTTTGATATTAATTCCACAGCTCATCTTTATGCGTAATACAATTAAAATTAACCGGAAATCGATCAGTTGCTTAATCGAGTCGTACTAAGAATAATTGTCGTCGCCAATACCTGACCGTTACCAGTCGTGTATGGAAGAGTCGGTTATGGCAATGGCATTTAAGTGATCAATGTGCCAGCGCCAGGGGTATATAGTTTGTAGACTTTGCGACGAACTACCGGCCAGCCGTATTTTAGATTTGTCCGCGGCCAACGACGGCCTAGCTATCGACCGGGACGTCGCCGTCAGCAGCTTTGACATACTGTTGCAGTACCGAGCAAATTAGCGTCGTAGTCGGCGCCTACAGTGTCGGAATACGAATGAGTGCATAGTTTAAAGTGTAATGCGCCTTGCAGAGATAACCATTGAATGAACGTGCTCGAGTCCGAGCAAAACAGTCTGGTTTGAAGGAACCGGTTCGTCGGCCGGTTGAAAGAAAACTTGCTTTTGAGCAAGAAAACGCTATGTCATTAGAACTTGCTTCGGGATTAAATTTTTTTCAACACTGAACAGATTGACGAATAAGTGTAACGGCATCTCAGAAAAAATTGATGGCACGCTGTGTTCGCTAATCAATTAACAGACAGCGCCTAAGCACTGCGGACGGTATATTGTTCTGTTACAGTATGTGAACGTGCCCAAATGGGTAACGCATGAACTAACTAGTGTCCTATAATCCGAAGTTTCCCAAAATGGTTAGAACATATCTGCGCTGTTTCGAACTGATGATGAGAGTAGATAACAACTCCACCATTATATCTTATGCTACCATCATCATCGTCATCAAGCTTTATCGATCTGTCGCTGGCTGAAGACCTCTCCAAAATCTGGCCATAGACTTCTGTTATCTGTCATTTCCATCCATTTTGATTCAGCCCAACTCATCGTGCCATCGATCTGTAGGTCTTCCTACGGTCGGTGTACTCTGCCTTGGAACCCAGTCTAACGTTTTTCTGAGCCAACGAGGGTCAGTACTTCTTGCAACGTGTCCACTTCGTTGTCACATTGACTTCTTCACTAGAGAAACGGCATCGCAGTCTCCGCAGTTTATGTTCTTACTCATTCATTTGTCGTCCTATCTTTTCTTGTCATTTCCAACAAACGATAAGCGATTTTAAATTGCTTGCAATCTGCTAAAAAATAAAGTCATTTTTTGCAAAACATCATTTGTACGGTTTGCGATAAAGAAACCGTTCCTGCTTAGGTTCAGGACCGATAAAGGCGTTCAAAGCTGGAACTGAGCTGTTTAATTTAGAGATTTCGTTCTCCTAAGGTAACATAACAGGCACTAGAAAGCGAATGATGATTATCCGATTAAGTGTAAAATCTTTAAGCTCAGTAATCATACTTAAATCTACTCGACCATTCAGAGCAAAATCCCCGTCAAATGCAGAAACTTTCGCTAGAATTAATCCAGGAAGTGAAAGTAAATCGTTAGGCAGGAAGTTGTGCAGGCAACAAATATGATTTGGTTTTCGGTTCTGGACCTATCGTTGGAACTGTAACGACTTTGTTGATCTATGGTTGAGGGCACCGATCAAGAATGATGTTAAAGCATTTAGTACAAATGCGTTTTGCTACTACATCGGTAGATCAATAACAAAAACAGATAGGGAAGCGCGACAGCGCCAGAGACTTTCACACCAGCTTCCTTGGAACCTTCAACCCTGGATCATAAAATTGTTTACAGTTTCACAGGCATTGTAAGACATCTTAGTCTGCAGCCGTTAAACCTCCTGCTCTTCTGCAACGAGTCCGCCATATATAGTGAGCTGTGCTGATACCTTTTAATTGTCATCTGTAAACGGAATTCGTAAGGGCATCCACAAATTTCGCCAATTTTGTCATCAGAGAAGGAAGAGTCGGGTTTTCGTTCGGTGAAACGACATAAATCATTGAAACGGCTAGGCTCATTCTTAGACTACGCAAAAAATTTGTTCACCCAGTCAATATTTTTTTTCTGTGGTTGTCTTGAAATAAACATCGCTTGTCCAAACCTCTAATTTTGGATCACTGTTACGAAATCGACGTTAAATCTGCACGAATGTTAGGACATAATAGCAGCGCAGCGCCCAACTCCTTTGAACGACCTGGAGCTGACCTGCCCAGCATTCTGCAAACGACGACTCTGGATATGCTATATTTACAACCTGACAAATCCTGCACCCCGAGAGACCTCCAAGCTGCTATATTCAAAACTTCGGTGCTGTTCTCAATGAACAGTGAAGACTATTTTTAGAATTGCATCTGCCACCTGTTTTCTGTCGTCTGCAATTTTTGTGTTTGCATTTCTGGAGCTAGAGGATATGTGGATACCTCAGAGCACAGTCTACAGCCTGAACCAGAGTTTTCCTTGACTTGTGAAGCAAAGAAGTTGTTAATAAAAATAGCCAAATTTCACTGCCATGCAGGACAAACCCATCGATAATCTGACTAGTGCGAATGAATGCATTCACTTGCCCGTTAAACAGTTGGTGAAGTAAAACCGAATAAATTGGATTTAAGTAAAAGTAAGCGCTATTTATACGGGCCCAGAATATTAACGCTATAATCTGACACGCGATTATTGCTTTGACAATATTGAAAAAATATTTTTCTCAACAAGTATTTCTCATTTTCTATATTAGATCGGGCAACCCGATATGTATTATATCTCGAAGATTTTCTAAGGATAAACAGACTCTGCTCTTCATTCCGTACTCTTCCATTCAACTTTGTCGTTGAAGCA